GGGGGGGAGACTGCACATCATGACTGAATTTAACGTTACCTACGTGGGTAAGCACCGTTACAAGAGAACGGAGACAGCGCACCACAGTGACCTACCACAGCGGCTCTCTCCTCGGTCCTGGGCGCCGTGGTCCGTGCTCGTCATGCTACCGGGTGGTGCTACAGGTGGGTGGCAGGTGTCCGCCGGCCGGAGCTGTCCATGATGCTGATGCTGTGACTACTGTAGCACTACCATGACTCCCCTGCTTCCTTAGCGCAGCTTGGTGTGCACAGACAGCGCGAGTGTGAGGTCATTTGTTGGGACAAACATAAAGTCACCTGAAGGAAGAAGCGGCTGGTAAGCACAAACACCACGTCGCCCCGGAGTTGCTCGCTAAGTGCACTCGGTGCTGACGCCGACTCACTGATTTTACGAGCGCTTCCTCGAGTGTAACCAAATTAACTTAAAATTGAAGGTACATTTTTCGCTCTCACAGCATCATTACGGGAGAATAAACACTTCTCCGCTGTTTGACTAGTGGTATGAATAGACACAATTCAGAAGTTTGTCCAGTATCGCTAACATTTCATACCTGCCTCGAAGCTTCCACCGCCATTTTAAAACAAACTTGTATTGAGAGTACAGCGTAATCGAGTGAAGAATGTTCACCATCGATGGATTCACCTGTCTGGACCTGAAGGCATCAATAATCGATCTCGCAACCTGAGTACCTACACACATTAGCTATAAAAGCGTTTTTGTAAGAAAAGCAAATTCCTCAGAACAACTGTTAAATGTTGTAATATTATTTGAAGTAGGCCTATATCGGGGTTCTCAAACATGTTTACATTAATCTTAAAACCATTTAAACTAAGTTGGAGCGTGAAATTGTAATATGGTCTGAAACTCAAGTCCAGTGGAGTTGAAAGCGGGGAAAGTACTAGTGAATTTATATTAACACATTTTTTCTCTAAAGTATTTTCCAATGCAGAATATACTCTCAAAAGATATTAAATTTTCCTAAGGAAATCGAGGCTTTGGTAGGCCAGTTCACATAAACCATAGGACTAAGCTAGTTTTATTTCCATCAGTCCACCCATTATCTATGCCACTTATGCTGAATAGGGTCGCAAGGGGGCTGGAGCCAATCTCAGCTGACATTATTGAGAGGCAGGGTCCACCCAGGACAGGTTGCCAGTCTATAACAGGACTGACATGTAGACATACAACCACACACTCATACCTATGGGCAATTTAGAGTCGCCACTCAAACTAAACCGCATGTCTTTGGACTGTGGGATGAAGGCGTAGGACCCGGAGAAAACCTACGCAGGTACATGGACAACCCGGAACCTCCTTGCTGTGAGGCGACGGAGCTAACCACTGCGCCAACATAGTTTTATTTCCAATAAGCCATTACATCAAGATACTGCATATAGATACTGCTTATTGTGTAACCCTATCCTAGCCCTATTTTGAGTTTAAAAAAAAAAAAAGTATAAAATACATGCTTATGGAAGTGGGTGGGTGCAAAAGTGGTGGTAGTATTCCTTCATTGGCGTACACCAGCTGCGTTTAAGAGGCTATGGATGACTAAGTTTACCTCTTTCACTACGATAGTGTTAGACAAAAATACAGTATTGGCTAGTCTGATATGTGTTGACAGTGTTTGCCATCTCTCGTACAGCAACCTCACACTGCCCTCTAGTGGCACCATGAGGTCCTGTAAGGACCAATGACAGGGAAGCACACAGGCTGAGGTTTGGTTTATTCCTTTATTAGATGTTAAGAAAATCCACAATGAAACAAAATAATTTATTCAGGGTGTACATGAAATTAGAATAACACACCTACTCGGAACAGACGGGATTTAGGGACAGAGGAAGGGGGGAGGGTGAAGGAACATTATCTAGGTGGGAATGAAAAGACAATGATAACTCAAGTTTCCAGTGCTGGATATGTTCTTCAGACCACAGTGCAATCGCACGTCAGCCACTCTGTCAGTGTCGTTCATGCACACACCTTCACTGAATGCACTGTCTTATGTTTTTTTTTTTGTTTGTTTGTTTTTTGTTTTGTTTTTTTAAACACGGCATATCAAAATGGAAGAATTAAATGGAGAAAGGTGTAATGCGCTCCTTTCAACCCCCATTTAAGTGCTTTTTTGTAACTTAGCTTTTTACACACATCCAATGACAGATTCTCAGTCTTATACCATTCTTTCGATCACTGATGGGGATGATATAACCTCGTTTGATTTGTTAACTAAAACATGTTTAATTCAACAGAAAATGGAGTGCAACGTTTGCATGCTGCATTTTAGAGACATTCCGTGTTTTTTTTTTTCCCCTCAGCTGTCCCTCAATCAAAAGTAATCTACATGCAAAATTAATTGAATGACTTTTCTCCATACGCTCTTGAATGTTTACATGCGCCAAGGTATTGCATAGGACTTAGGGCTGTTGACTTCCCCTCCGCATTGCTTATGCAATCTATGCAATGGCTTAGTTCTTTTTTTAAACCCATAAAACTAAAGCTCTAAATTATTGACAGTTAGCTCTGATTTGCTTGGAAAGAACACCTGTCAATTTCTGCTCTACAATCAAAGAAAGGTTTTACATTAATGCGTTAATGCACTGTCACAGGTCTGAGTGTAGATTATGCAGTATGCTTATATTAAAAAATTCCTGAGTGTCTGATAACTGTCAAAGAAAGGTGATAAGACCCTGAATTTGGGTACCTTTCATTCAGCTACTTGGGGGTCCTTTTCAGTTCAAGTGGCACTGGCCTGAACACACCTTGGGCCTTTACAAACTTTGCATTTTCAACAAGGAAGCCAAACCATACACGCAACAGGGACACATTCACCTGCGACAGTGCATTACAGTGAGTCTGCTCCCACTGCTGACATTTTTTTTTTATTATTACCCAAGTACAATTTTAGTTATCTGTGCTTAAAGTTTCAAGGTATGATGTGACAAATGAGTCACCCTGCTAGTCTCTGCATAACCTGTCTGAAAAACTTGGAAGTAAAATTGGAAAAAAAGCAGCAGGTATTAAGAAATGCACAATGCATCTACAGATGCTTTAACTGAATTTAAGTTTCAAAGCACTGGTCAGTAAACTACACCTCAGGGGTCTTATGGCTAATTTGTTCTGGGTGTGTTTCAAATTTAGGGAGCCTTAATGCTTTTCTACTCTAGTGAATATATGCCTCTGCATACCTTCACATTTCTCTGAGATTAAGTTCTAGTACACTCACTCTGAACCAGTGCCTTCACAAGTTCTATGCTGACTGACACACACACACACACACATACACACACACACACGCACACACACACAGTGAGACACTCAATATTTCAACTATATTGTAAACCAAAAAATAAAAACACACCTCATATGGAAAAAAAGCATTTGTACCTTAGTGTAATTATGCCATGTTTTTGGTTTGACCACCGCCCTGCCACTTGTTATAGCTTAGTTGCACAATGGACAGTAAACCATCACTCTGCGCTGATTTTGTCCTTTTTGCTTGGGGACAAAGGAACTGAAAGGATGTGTAGAAACATGAGATTTAAATGCCTGCAAGTATTTCTGCTTCAGCTGACAGAGACCTGACAACTAAGAGGTTAACTTAAAATAAAAACCAAGCCACATTAAGCAAGAATTACAATCAGGCAAACATTTTCTTCCTTTTCACAATTTTCGCAAAAACATATTCATGGAGTCCGATTGTCTTGGACTACAAACAAAACTAGGCTTTGCCATCTACTTATCACAGCCATACTATGGAACTGCAACTTCAAAAGATTTGCAAACATATTTATAGCACCAAGAGTCTGTACCATAGAAATTACACAAAGTAAAACAATGTTCCATTGAGTTGCAACACCAATGTCTGCAAAAATGGCTATAGTCATGTCGTTTCATGATGGGTCTTCACCCCAAAACAAACTTTTTATTTTTTCCCCCCAGGTTCTACAAGTAGATTATTAGTCCTTTTGCCAACAAAACTTTTGATTTCCCATTTTTTACTTTTTAAAGGATTTTTTTTATTTTAACCTAACAAACCATACTAAGTCTACTACTAGCTTTTGAAAGACTATCACCATTCAAAAAACAGACTCATTTATGATAACTTTTCCATACATGGGGAATTTACGGATATTTCGAAGAAAACTGCACGCATTCTCTACTTCACATTCAGAAAGTTATCCAAACTATATAAACTCTGACATTCTTACATAACTCAAAAACCCCAACATCCTTTTGTCTTTCTGAACACAAGATGGAAAGTAGAGGATGCAATAGCAGTTGTTTCACACGACATTAGATTTAACTAGAAAACGAGGAGTGAGACTGGCCGGACGAACATACATGCATAACCATTCAGACACCAATTATCAGTATCTTGGTTCAAAAGCAAAATTGTGGGAACAAAAGTGACAAGGATAGAACAAAAGTTTGTCCCTTCTACCTAACTGAGATTTGAATGAGGACCAGTGTACAGAGAAATCAAATGAAACATTCTAAAATGCATGTCCGCACACGGCATCACTCAAAGACAGAACATATTTTTTGAGTTTTCCTATTTTGACTCACTTTTTGTTGATCTGAGTGCTGATTATACAAGGTTTTAAGTTAGTAAATAAAAACCAGAAGAGTAATGTGTGGGGGTTTTGGAGGGTTGTCGCACAAAATTTGCCTACTTTAGGTTCTCCAGCTCTGAGATGACCCTGAATCTTTGCTGGTAGAGATCCAGTCACAAAAGGAGAGGAAGGTTTCCTCTTGACCACAGGTCTCTTCTGCAAAACTGGAATATTCAAATATTGCTGCTCCCTGAAGAAGGAAGTTGTGCAAAATGGTTAGACTGTTGCATATGGAAATCTCCATGCCACATGTGACTATCCACTGTACTGTTGCTTCATTTATCTCTTGCATCTGTTGTATTTTTTACCAATTACTGCACCAGACCTTGCTGTGTTTGTGAGCCATCTTGCAATGATCCTTCAGATTATGTGACCTAATTAGGAATTTAAGATCAATTTCCACTGTCCATGTTTTTATCACATACACTCAGAGGATTTTGGTAGTTGTTGCCAAAAATGAGGACACTATTTAAATACCTAACATGCTTTAAAGGCTGTAATAGCTAAAGACTTGTGGCCAGTAGTGTGCAAGTCATCTCAGTAGCCCTGACAACTGACTCTTGAATATTTGGCCAATTAAGTTTTCCCATGAACAACTCTTTTTGTGTCACATATTTCAGTATAATGTCAGCAATACATATGAATTATTTTTGTTATATTACACAGCCTTATGCTGGTTTACTGTTTGCACATTGAGAGCCGATGTACCCGAGTCAAATTCCTCATGTGTCCAACACACCTGGCCAATAAAACAGATTCTGATTCTGAATTTGCATGGCATAATTTTAGGAGCAAAGAAATGCATGACTGCAAGAGGCCTACAGGAACAATGAAGCAAGTAAGTCGGTACTGTTACTGGCAGAAAGTCTAAACATTAAACTTAGTTGGCTCAATATACGTGTTGTATACACAGATTATAAAGAGCACTAGTGCTCCTAGTGGAAAAAAGTCTGACACCCTGACACTGTGCACATTATGCACTATATACCTTGCCACTTTGTCTGCTGTACACTGTCTGAGGTCTACAATTTAACAGTAGGAATTAACACATTCTTTAAATGTGCTGACATCAGTTCAACCACATCAAGCTTTACAATCAGTACATTCTATTTTGGGGCACTGCACATTGGTATACCGTTTCTGAGCTTGTATTATTTACAATGTCCACTTAATACACCTGTTGACCTGTTTGGGAGTGGCTTCATCTAGGTCTCAAATGTGCTGCTGTATTCAAATGACCAGGAAGTTAGGTACATTTCAGGGAAAAGGATAAAGCAGTGTAAAATACTGCTGTGGGACTGGCCATGTCCGGGGACAAACTAAGGAA